AAAGCTCTCCGCTATTACCTGAGAATAACTACGATGCTTCATGGCACTGTTGTTACTTGCAAAACTAACATTGCGTAGCTGTAGTATGTAGTAAGCTGCTTTGTAATGAAATGGGCATAGAACTATTTCATACATACAAATCGACTTCACTATGGGACATATTGGACATTTTTTCGTATGATTATTTATTATTATACATAGCTTTTTTGATTAAATACACTAACTAATATTCATTAAACTTTTCGTATTCCCGCGAAAACTATATTCCGTATCTGGGATCAAGTGGTATAAATTCTTCTCTCTTTTCCTCTTTTTAAATGTATTTACGCCTGCATACATACAGGTAGGTGATTATGTGGGATTCACTGGTCAGAAAAACCAGTACTACCGACTAAAACCCAACAATATCGATATTTTTGAAATCGATTTTGAGTTTTAACCGTGAAAAGAAGGCTGACGGACAGACATATTAACATTAGTAGAGATATGTAAATATTGGCTGACATACAAATTATGTATGTAGATAAATATAATATATGAATATTAAAAAGTATCGTTATTTAGAATAGTCATTCCGTTTATACGCTACATAATTTTAAAAGCCTTTGACGATGAATATAAAGCTTGCCAAAATGTACAGATGAAAATATTTTTTATGCGTTAAAAATAAACCTTTGATGTTTAGTTTACGATTTCGGTGTTTTGTTTCTATAGCAGTCTTTTATACTAGATGGAAAAGCTTTATTTTTGTACAAATAATAAATAAATAATATGTCCATGGTAAGCTACGAGGCTTGTGTTATGTTACATATTATAAATATAAACACCCATGACTGGAGTACAAACATTCGTGCTCATCACTCAAATAAATGCCCCAAGCGGGACTCGAACCCGAAACCGCTGGTTCAATAAGTAGGGTCACTACAAAGTACAAACTGAGCCAAACGTGTCGTAAAACAAGATTGAATCTGTAATAATTTTCCGTATATGCGGCAAAAGCTTTAAGTAAATGTTACTTGCTAGTCATATTTAATGATACACTAGTCTAATAACTACTAATGATTGTAATGTACATAGATACCTTATTATCATTGGCTTTAGAAGGGCAATTTGAAACTTGCGTGACGGTGGATTCTGATTGTTTTCGGAATTATCGACCTTTGTTTTATCGGAAAATGTTGTTTACAAGTTGCTCAATCATCAGGGTAGTAATGACTCATCAAGGATGTTAGAAGAGTAGAACTACAATATGATATATGTAAAATTTTTAGATTTACGTGAATATTTGACACTTTAAATAAAACTTCTCGGATTCTTTCGCGGATTTACTTTGATTTTTGGTTCCCGACGTTTCATATGGTTTACAGCAATCAAAGTCACGGAATACACTAAGGTTGTATATATTTGCGATTATATAGTAAGCTTTATCGCTATTTTCATATCCCGTTTCCTGTTTGTATACTATATTTTTATGTATAAACTTTTTAGTTCATTATTCATTGAACCAAGAAGCAATCGAACTCACTACTCTATCACACACACAAGTTGATTAATCACTAAGACATCAAAATTTATCTCAAATAAATATCTAAATCTCGAATAATTGTATAAATTAGGTATCTGAATACACTGAACAAAATGTATATGGGTATACAAAAGTTATACATTTTATAATTTAAAAGATTGCTTACATCAAACTTTTAAATTAACCTTTGGCTTTTGCAAAGTAAGCAGTTAATTTAAAACGAAGGATTGTTAAGTACTTTCTAATAACAGTCCTAAAACAAACCAAAAACTAATTTTGGTCTTTACATAGGTAGTTTACCCTTTACCTTTAGATTCTAATGAATAGCTAAGTCCCGTTTCACATTTTATGAACACCCTTCACTGTTATTTTGTCGCTACTGTTTGTTTTGTACTTTATTTAGTTTTACTGTGGCTAGCTAGAGGGTTAAGCATTAATTTTCTCCATAAACAACTGTCAACATGGCATTACTTTATTTGAATAGGGTACATAAAAACGGATGCTTGATATTTGCTTAAAAATGTTTACAGATTTAGTATATGAACTAGCATTGCCTGCGGCTCCGCCCGCGTTAAGATGACCAAAAATCAAATTCTTAGGTTTTACATATTTGTTATTGACTTAGATTGCAGTTTTTATATATTTTTCTCAGAAATGAGATATTTTTCCGCGGTAAAAAGTATCCTATATGTCGACCCGGATAACCAAACATCATACTATCATCAAAATCCCTCCAGTGGTTATTCTGTGATGCGGTAACAGACAGACAGACGGACAGACAAAAATTCTAAAAGGCATAGATTCGGCCTCTATATCGATAATAATGTTTATTTCAATAAGATTTTCCAAAAAATATCTAATGTACCTACAGATTCGGCTTAGTTACAATTTTATTATATGTATAGATAAAATAAATGTTTTAACTGATAGGCACGTGTCTAAAATGAGAATACAAGATTCTATAAAGTCTTTGGCTTTAGTATAACAAAGTTTTTGGCATAAATCTGTGATCTATCTTCATATACGCTTTACCTCATCACTCACCGTTCAAATCTTTTACATTTCCTAAGCAAGTATTATTTTAAGTTCCTCTATAGGTATACATATAATATGTTTTAATTTATTTATATCGTAATCACAAATAAATTTCTTATTTGCTAAATTTCAATAAATCTCAATCAGGGACTTTTACGAGGATTTGTAAGGGCTGGATATTCGTACAATATATTTAATCTACGGTAACAAAGTCTGCCAATACTGTCGACGGTAACAAGGGTCGACCAGTATAAAATCTCTTAAAATATTTTTACTCATTTGGTGATTATAATACGATTTATAGAAATGTTTGATATTAAAAAAGTTAATTATAAAAGTAGAAAAAAAGGACTTTACATGTCTTTCGAAAACCTGCTAGGTTCTCTCAGACATAAAGATTTCCTCACGATGTTTTCCTTCTACGTAACACAAGTGGTAATCATGTTGAAATTCGCATTCGACTTGAAAAAATATCATAGGTGCAAGGCCCGGGATTTGAACCCGCTTCATTCGGTCCCAAGCCAGCGCGTTATCACTGGGCTACCACTGCCTTATATTTATATGTACAGATCAAAACAAATCATTATTATAGGCTAATTTTTGATAAGATAAATTTTTATACGTTCATTTAATCGAGTTTAAGAAAGCCCTAACGTATCATAAGAGAAATATGTAATCTATCATGTAAAAGTCCAAGTCAATAATACAGTGTAATTCTATAGTATTAAAACAGTTTAAATAAAGTAGCTTAAAGCCGTAAGTAGGATATTACATCTTATCTATGCGTTTACCGCATTGCTGGTGTGCGCAATATTACTTAAATTCGACGAAGAAACTATAAAATAAGTGGTAGCATATGTTACTAGTGTTGCCTTATAACTTTTAAACCGACTGCAAAAAAGAGGAAGCTCTTAATTTGGTTCTTTTTATGTACCTATATTCGCTAATTCAAGTGTGATTTGTGTGTTTGTCCATTTCAATTGACACACATAGTCATAAGTGTTTTGCTTTAAGTCGATGTATCTTGATTGTAACAAATTGTATCAAAGTAAAAAACAACAACACCTCCAGGTAAATTTCTAAGAAATTAATGAAATTTCTAAGAAATCTATTGTTAACTGTAACGCCGGCGTGTCCGCCGGATTGTTGTATGATTCAAATAAAGTTTCATATACTCTCCATACTTTTGTTAATATTACTAAGGTCAAAGTGTGTTTATTGGTCTTCAGACAATTAATAAAGAATCGACATGATTTTTTGCTTAGGTGACTTAAGTCTATAAAGAGGACAATATAAGGTTTTGCAATTAAAAACATATTATGTTTTTAATTGCAAAACCTGGCATATTTTCCGCGGTAGATGTATAATATTAGATTTTTTTTCTGAAAACGCGCGGGTTAATGTCAACGTTCGAATAAAGTGAGGGTGGGTCGGGTCACCTCTACATATACATACTATATATCGTTCATAAGCTACAATTAAGTTATAAAAGGAGAGGATTTGTAAGTGGCACTATAGAAATGTTCGCAATAGAACCGGTTTAATTACGTATGCAGTTTTAGTTTTAACAACCGAGAAGCGTTTCATTATCTTTACATATAATAAAATTGTAACTAAGCCGAATCTGTACATAAAATATTTTTTGGATAATCTTATTGAAATAAACATTATTATGGATACAGAGGTCGAATCTATAGTTTTTGGAATTTTTGTCAGTTTGTCTGTCTGTTACCGCATCACAGAAAAACCACTGGATGGATTTTGATGGAATTTGGTATGATGGTAGCTGGTCTGATCTAGGTCAACATATAGGATACTTTTTATAACGGGAAAATTTCTCATTTCTGAGAAAAAATATAAAAACTGCAATGTAAGAGTATACTAATATGTAAAACCTAAGAATTTGGTTTTTGGTCATCTGAACGCGGGAGGAACCGCGGGCAATGCCAGTTCAATATAATTTTAAATCTCGTCATCTCCATGTACTTCAAAATTTTATCTTATGTACTATACATATATTCTGTGTAGGATGTAACAACGCTTTTGTCTGGGCATTTCAAAAGCGATCGAAATAAATGGAAATCCAAGCTTTTCATCTTCACACTTGACATTTTCTTCTTGACCTTATATGCTTTATTCCAGAACTTATAGCCACCTTATACAATATCCTTTATAATACTATATTGTACTAGTGGACCCGAAAGATGTTATCTTTATCCAACATATAAATATTTGATTTTTTACGTGTGTATATCACTAAAATTGATGATTTTTTGTGTGTTTGTCCCTAAACAGTTTAATTACACAATTTAAATTATTAACTTTTTAAAACATAAAATTGATAATTTAAATGTGCTTGTAAAATGTGGCTTGATTTGATTTGAAACAATTTAATGCGATTCACGCGGTCACGTATAAAATACTATGATGATGATATTACCTGGTAAGTAAAAGTGTGGCCAGTACGTAGAATACGGAGGGGTGCACTCCACAGACGCACTCGGTCTGCGGCGTCTCGGTCTGGGCCTCCATGCCTGCGCCCAGCTTATGGTAGGCGATGTACGCTCGCGCCGGACTGCCGTGTGGAGCAATTTTCGTAGCCGTAGTTCCCTGCACCGTTTGAATCTGCTCATCTGGTCGTTTAGACCCCGCTCCTCACCTGTAAGGATAAAAAGTAGGTTTTTAATATTACCACAGTCTATTAACTTATACAGTTATCTAACGTAGGCGTCTAGATAGGACATTCGTGTGAGGTACGATGCGGAAAGGCGCTTCCGAATATTGTATGTACTTTAATATAATAGTTGGGAAACAGCTTTACAGTTCGCGTTGTTTATATACGGGTGACATAACTGTAATGAAATGGTAATACAGCTTTGAAATCATTTGCAATCAAAATTTATATTTGTTATCAATGCGTTTGTTTGCTTTTGCCTTGCGTTTGCCGTGATTTTCGTTAAAGTCAAAGTCGATCACATACAGTATGGAATTTTATACTGTGTTATTGTAATTACACTTCCTGGTTTAATATGTTCATTTCATAATATTTTTATTTGAACATACAACATACTAATTACATTTATACAAGGCTTTTATCGCAATTTTTTAAATAACGATACCTATTTGGGCTAATTATTAACTCAGGATTACGAAGAGCTATTCGTATCCGTATTAGTACGAGTATTATAAATGTGAAAGTTTGTGAGTATAGATGTTTGTCACTCTTTCACGCCAGAACGGCTGGATGGATCTAGATGAAATTTGGCACAGAGATAGATTATAGTGTGGAATAACACATAAGCTACTTTTTATCCCGGAAAAATGTACGGTTCCCGTGGGATAGGTTTGTTTTTGTTTTTCTAGCGGCGAATCCGAGCGAAGCGAGGGTAAGCCACTAGTTATAAATCAAATGACAGCGTTTTTATGAAATTAAACTGATATTTGTAATAACTAGAAATAGGCATTTTATTATCTGTTAAAACAAATATATTAGGTGATTTATCTCAAACGTTTATACGCGATGCCAAATTGAACCATTTGCAAACTCTAAAAACACATTTATACGTGAAGTTACTGTTACGATTTATGTTTACGCTAGCTATTTCAGATTACGACACGGCCCTTTTACGTGCAAGCCGTGTTTGTGTTTTTATAAGTCCTCCATATTTTATGTGAGAAGAAATAAAGCTCTTAAAAATATAAGTAGCTTCTATGATGCCCGCTTTTATGGGAGCTTAGGAATTTCTAAAAAAGTCTTATGGCCGATTTCACCAATTTCACCTAAGTTTAAGGGATCCCCTAAGCATGGTTAGGGGGCTGTTAGGGGACAGTTTCTGTTTCACCGACAGGCATTACCTAAATACTAAAAGGCCCCCTAAATTTAGGTGCTCGAAATATGGGCTTAAAGATGATCGTAAAACGAAATTGAATTTAGGGGCTAGTTTAGGGGGCTTTTAAGCTAGGGATCCCATACGTAGGTGGTAGCTTATGGGTTGTTGGTGAAATCGGGCATTAGTATTCTTAAAGCCTCACAAGAGAGTTTAGCCACTAAGTTTTAATCACCTAATCGAAGATGATTTGATGATTAAATGAGTTTTTATATAGAAAATAAGTATAATAAAATTAAATCAAAATCATTAATACTTGTTTATGCGTAACATCAAATTGTGTATTACGGAAAACTTAGAATTTGCGAGTGGTGAGACTTTGCAATGATACTTGAGTGACAAACTTGACACTAAAGCTCACAAAGGTCACAAATATAACTTTCATAATGACGTCCACTAAAACCAAAAGTATCTCATCTATGAAGAAAGTGGCTTGTATTTACTAATTACTATATACAAAAAATCATATACAAAAAATCTCATTAAACATGTATAGGTAAATGTAAGGTACCGGTAATAAAAGGTAAAATTGTAAGATAATACAAAAAAAGATATGTATGTAATACATAACTAATGACCGGTTAAATGTGTGCTGAAGCCACAACATTGGTTTTTAGGTAAACCCTTAGGGCCTTATACAGCGCGTTCTGTATCTAATAGAATTGAAACTGCTTATTTACTTCTAAACTACGTAATTCAACTTTATATCAAATAAATGAGCTTACTATTTATTGTGAAATTACTCTTTCGGAAAGTTTGCCTATAAAACTTAGCGCAGGTGAAGTTGGGGCCACAAGTTAGCGTACAGCAGTTCTGCCGAAGCTAAGCAACGCACTGGGATGTGGCCCACTATGGTGGGCGGTATGTCATACGGGTTGCTCCTGGTACTTCTCTGATGCATTAGCAGAGTGGACCGTTCGAGCAACACCATAGTTTTTGTGGTCTGATGTGAATGTGATGAAGAAGATAGTTTGAGACCCTGAGAAGGACATAGCATACTTTTTACCCTGGAAATAATCCTTTAAGGGGGTGAAAATGGGGATGAAAGTTTGTATGGGGAATCAATCTAGGGACGACCCCGAACGAAGCGAGGGTGAGTCGCTAGTTTTGAATAAAATGTATAATAGAAGGTTAAAATAAAAAAAACTAATTATTTCAATCGTGTTCATATTAATTAACACTCGCGTTCATATTTATTGATTGCCATGTGAATGTCGTAAGTATTCTATTAGTAAATTTCATAGATATTAGTTAGATTGATGACAAGTACATTTAATCACCTAGCTTTAATGTAATATGGACATATAAACAAATATGTAAGTATTTTCTATAATTTTACTTCTTTATTTTTAATAGAATAGGCAAAAGTACATACATTCAATGGTAACACGAAACACCTGAACACTTCTCATAATATATGACAAAACTGCAAATACATAATAAATATTCGTTCAATTCAAACCTCTATATTCTTTTATTTTGCTTTTTAATAAAATGTCACACTTCTTCTCGAAAGTTCAATACATTCCCTACGGTATAAATAACAGCTTATACCTAAGCTATAACGTAGAATATAAAATTTTTTTTAGAATACAAAACAGTTAAATGCAGAGCTAATAAATGTAGCAAACGCATTGATTCATAAAAATCCTACTAATCTATTACTACTACCTATTACTATCCTTACTAATATTATAAGCGCGAAAGTTTGTATGGATGTATGGTTGTTACTCTTTCACGCCAGGACAGTTGAACGGATCTGGATGATGATGATGATGATGACAGAGATAGATTATAATCTGGAATAACACATAGGCTATTTTTTATCCCGGAAAAATGTCCGGTTCCCGTGGGATAGGTTCGTTTTAGTTTCTGTTTTCTTTTATAATTACTTTGAGCCTAGAAGGCTTTGTATTCTTACTAAGTGCCTTCGATTAATTGTTGTTAGTTGTTACTACAGCAGTGTGGGAAGTAAACATCATACCTATAAGGAAACAAAATTAGTAATTACCAATTACTAATATCCTGATGGATGAAATTTGGCACAGAGATAGATTATAGTCTGGAATAATACATAGGCTACTTTTTATCTCGGAAAAATGTACGGTTCAGGTAGGACTGTTTTTGTTTTCCTTGAGGCGAACCCAAGCGAAGCGAGGGTGAGCCGCTAGTATACCATAAATGATTTTTAAATATACGGTTATCGTTCGTTGTATTTTAACTTGCACAAGTGTATTTAACTAACTCGATATTAATATAGAAAAATTTAATAGACGATATGTTAAACATAATAAAAACATGTCAGACAAAGATAAAGTTATATATAATCAAGAAGATTATAGGCTTTACGAATTACGACTCAAAAGCGGTGTGTTACCTCGATTTCATTGTATCGAGCAATGAACTTTGATCCAATAGTAAAGAATATGTTTTGTATTATATAGTATTATTTGTATAGCAAGTAAAAAAGTATTTATATTTATAAAAAAAAAACAACAAAGCGGAAAATTTTTTTAACACATTGGTAGTATTTTAGTGTAGATAAATATTTGTAGGCATACAATATTCTTTGAGGCGTGGTTAATCCCAATAATTAGTTGACGACGACCATTGTCAGTAAAATAGTCAATAACTATTATGTATCTGCTTACAATTTCATCCAATTTCGAGCCGGATCACAGAAACCCTTGTTCAAATGTCACATTTTGCTATAATATTTTGTTGGACAACTCTTTGAAAGAATGTTGCGTGTTATGAAAGGTTAGGGTAATTTACTCGCGATACATTAAAGAGTGCCGCAAGACGTCTGTTCTGCTTGGCAACTGGAAACAAACTGGCAGGGAAACCGAGAAAATGAAGCAATATGTAGTGCCGGACAATTGGGGACAAATTAAAAATTCATATCGATAATAATCAAAAATTAACAGAAAGTTGTACATCAAGTAAGTAATCATTTTGTTAATTTTTGTTATTGTAATAACTGTATTTTGCTATTGATTCAAATTACCAATATACTATACATACTAACTTTATTTTACACTTCTTTGGATTATACTACTTAATATGATTGTTGATGCAATAGATTTATATTAATGAGAATAGTTGTTTTATCCACTGGTCCGCTCTTGTAGTAGATGAAATTGTTACGTGAAGTACTTACTCGAAAACTTTCGTATCATTAATATTAGTGTGTTTTAGAACTTTAATAAAGAACTGAAACCAATATAGCGTGACGAATTCGAAGTGTATTTTGTCGTTATCGATAATCTTCGTAAACTTATGTACGTCACTAGTGAAATATTGGGCGGGCAATCGTTGGGGCGGGGGAAAAGTCGATACCCACTCGTGTCATTACACGATGCAAACTGCACAATAATTAATATTAATAGAAATAAAGTTTATTAAATGCTTTTAAACTAACGACATTATTATGCGTCACGCAATTATTGTATGCTAAATATACTGTTATTTTTCTTTTATACGAAATAAATATATTTTCATTAGCAGCGAAACGATATTATACATTATGATCTTTCAAACTCTCTTTTATCAAAGTACGTTTTTGTGGGTATGTTACGCGTTAATATCTTTGTAAATCGTGGACAGAGTTTCACGATTCTTTTTTTTTATGAACATTACTATTTT